TGATAGCTGCTTGTGAATTGGATATGTGTCTCGCGTCCCTGGTGTTAACACACACCACTCAAACGCCTCCCTTCTGTCCGTCTCGTGGTCCCGTGAGTTGACCATACTACGAAGAATGGTTAGATTGGGTCAGGCGGGCTAGGCTAGGCGTGACGGCCTCTGGCAAGGGGGATAGGGTCCCACCCTGCCATCGTTTCGACACGATACGGTATTCAATCGATCATGCCCCACTTACTTTTTCGATTCGAGTTATGGACCGTATCAGGAGTGACCCAACTTCCTATTCTGCACTCCATCCCTAAAACTCGTCTGGAACCCGCTTGGCCCGCATCCTCGGCTCTTGAACCTCTGCAGATGAGATTCCATCGACGGTTCTGAGCACGTTGATATCGAATCCCTCCCAATTGGCCAGTGGCATACTGTACAAATGTGCTTCTTGCAACTGGCCAACCTGTCCGACGTATTCCATGCCACCAGATCGAGCAACTGAGGTCACGAGCAGAGAAGACGGATCACGTATGTAGGAGGAATCTCGCTTAAAGATAATTGCAATGTACTTGTTTCGAGTGTAATCGGTGGGTAGGGCCATGGTGGTGAGAAGCAGGTAGACAAAGCATCGAATGTACTCTTTGACCTCATAGCTTCTCGTTCCAATACAGCCTCACTTCAACGTGATGAAAACAGTATCTATTCCGTATAGCGAACAATTTCAGATACAATAAGCGGATCAATTCGACGCGGACGACGTGTTTAACAAGCAGACAAGCGGCGAGTCGATTACAAAGGGGCCACTTTCGTACAAACTCGAATTGAGAAGGTCATACCCCTTCCTTTCAGGATGTAGAGATTGTGAACCATATTATCCATAGGTCACGTTCGATCGAAAAGTCTCTGTCCATGGAAAGGTCTATAGAACCTGTATTCGTGACCGTGAGCGGTTCTATGTCAGACATAACCGAGTTGAATTGAACTGGTGCCATGAGGCAAAATGCCACTTGAATCCCCACCGTTCATCTGAGTAACAATGAGCCAATTCGAAGGCCAAGTTCCTGGAGGTGTGCTGAAGACTGTCGTAGAAGAGCATCAATTTATGGATGAATTCATTCAACTGTTGAAGCGACGGTAAGGCTACGCACTCTCCTATTGATTGTACGTAGACTAATGAGCGGAACAGGGTTGATTTAGACGAGAAATAGTATGCTATTTTATGATCCTTTTATATCACTTGCTCATTTATTGCACAGTAATCGAGATCTGGCTACACTATACGAGAGTTTCAGTCCCAAATGGAAAGATTCGGCCATTTATCCTCTGTTATCTCCCATACTCAGCTTTTTCAAGAGTGGTATGCAGATTCACTTTTGGACCATATAAGGCAACTTAGTGATCTTATCAGAGATGACCATACGCCGCACGACTTGTGAACCTATCAAGACTATTCTGGATGAGATTCCTGTGACTGATCCACCTGACGCGCTCGAAGAGGTGATATAATCTCGAATACGTTTATATTATACCCATTTTGATTCGGATGACAGGACGGGGTATCAATACTTGATGATTATCAAAAGCTGATCGAGGTCAACGAAAGGCTCGAGGAGTGTAGGGAGAAAGCAAACTCCAGCGATTCGGTCACAATGTTGCGGGAATGGCTGAATAACGAGGCTCCAAAAAGCCAATATGGAGATACAGATCACTTCACTAACATTACAGAGTTGAATCGAAAAGAGACAGCCAGATTTATACTCCCTGAACCTGGTATGCCAGTAAATGTTCAGTTGTACTTCTAACTCGGCCTCAGATAGGAAGTACCGACAAAGTGTCCACTCACAGCAGATGATAGCGCACAAGGTCTCGAACTGGCATGGTAGTGTTCTACTGGTGACGATGATAAACATTTACCAGCGAAATACACTGAGATTTGACGTACAGGACGTCCTCGAAAGGCATCAAGGTCTCAGTGAAAACATAAAAAAGGTCTTGCAAAAGGTTATGAATTCCTACAGGTGAGCGTCGAGGCAATTAGTCTGTTATATTCGGCATCCAATAATACAGTTCACCAGTGAACAATCGAATGGGATCGTGAAATACCTATCGAAGGCAAAGGACAGATTGAACGCCTTCTCATCAGTCGACTACATCGCTCCAAAACATGAAGGTCAAAGTCTAGAATCTAGTCACGAGTTCATGAAGGTCGCTAGCTATGTGAATAGTGTTACGGGAAAGTCGACTTCCGTGATAGTATACGGGGTGGAGCTGGGACAAGTGAAATTTATGGATGCTCTTAGAAGGAACATCGAAAAACTTCCGGTACGTATTCATGTAATGAACAGAGTAATAAAAATATGGTTGTTGATCAATACGGGCGGAATATAGGAGGTGTGTGGGTCATGTTCGGGAAGTCGCAGATCAGGTGATGTGATTGGAACGTTGGAATGGATATAGGTTGTGGGTAAAGAATTTCAAGGTCTGACTATAGTACTGACGAATTGATGGGGTATAACTGGCCACACCTATAGCAAGTACGTAAATATTAACGCTACCTATGGAGATACCGATGGTTGACTGGGTCACGACTGGATCGAATGTGCAGTGTGTACGTAGATGATCTATCGATAGGGAGCACTGATGGTTGATCGGGTTACGACTGGGTCGTATGTGCAGTTCGTGCGTAAATGATCTACTTTGTCTTGGAGAGTACTGATAGTTGACCGGATTACGACTGGATGGTGTTTGCAGGGTGTACGTGGATGAGTTGCCCTGTCCCGGGGAGTGCTGACCATCGACTGGTTTACGACTGGATCGCGTGTGCAGCATGTACGTGGATGATCTACTGTCTTGGGAAGTACAGATGGTTAACTGGATCACAACTGGATGTTGTATGTAGTGGGTACGTAGATGATCTACTCCGTCTCGTGGAGTGCTGATCGTTGACCGGATTACAATTGGATGGTGTGTACAGAATGTAAGTGGATGGTTCACTTTGTCTACAGGAGTACTGACCGTTGACCAAATTACGATTGGATGGTCCGTGTAGCCTGTACGTAAATGATTTATTCTACCTAGGGAGGTACTAGTAGTTGACTGGGTTTTGACTGGATGGTGGATGGTGTCTGCAGACC